GTCTGAGCGCCGGCACATCCACCTTCCTAAAGTCTCTCCTGAGCTTGTGTGATACCGGGGGAAGGGTTCTCCCTGATGTGGAACCTAAGTACTCCATGGTCACTTCGCTCGAGCTGTTCCACATCATGCGGCATCTTGGTCAGAACTAGGTCCAACATGCTGGGACTTTGCCCCTCCCGCCATCTAGTGGGTTGGTTGACGTGCTACACCAGGGGTAGCACTGTCATTAGGTTCACTAGTTTTCTACTAAAACCAGAGAGAGGGGCCCACAGGCTTTCCCAGCCTACCTCCGGAGAGTTGAAATCTTCCATGATGACGATCCGCTCCATGTGATTGTTTACCCTGGTCAGATATTCGAACAGTTGGCCACCCTCCTCCTCATCTAAGAGTGGTTTCTTGTAGATACCCACTACGGTCACTTTACAGTTCGGGGATTGTATGTTGCAAGAGCATGCCTGGGTATTAGGCGTGGACATGTGCTTGACATCACACTGCTCATTAGTGTCCGAAACAGGGAGCAATATGCCACCTCCACCCCTACCTTCTCCCCTGTCAGACCTGTATGCACTGTATCCGGTGAGTTGCAGGCTCTTGTGATGGCCTTGTGTAGCCACGTCTCGACAATCACAATAGAGTCTGTTCCTACGGCTTCGGCCCGTAGTTGTCTCCACTTATTGCTTAGGCTGCAGGCGTTCATGTGGAATGCCGATAACCCCTCAGCCCAAGCCTTACTCCAAGCATTGGTGCCACCAGCGTCTAATGCGCTCTCTTCGTTTTTTGCCGCCGGCATACGCTTGGCTGTCGGTCGCTGAGGCACCGCGGAGGGGATGACGGCTACATTAGCTCTACAAACCACCGTAACCCACAATTCCTTACCAGTCTCCAACTGAGTAGGTACACGAGCAGGCCTATCCTTTCGAATAGCTGCAGGCATAATCAACAGACTTACTGGGGTGGGCTCTGAGAATCCTTCGTTGCCACTGTGACCTGTAGGTGATAATGTTAATGTAGCTGAGCCAGACCTGGCAGAGGATGTGGTACGTTGAGTATCGAGTGTCGCTTACTGACGCTGCATTCTACTAAGCTCTATCCGGAGTGAGTTAGCCCGGGAATTACAATATGTCCTGTTAGTCGGTGATGAATGCCGGCGAAGGCCAGCATGCATAGAGGCCTTGTCCGGTTTGACGCGTACATTCCCGTTCGCCAGACTATTCTACCAGCCTCCACTAGAAATGCACCTGTCTATTTTCAGAAACACCCCAGCTTGGAACGTATACTGAGGATTGAGACAATTAGACCCAGCAAATGATCGCTGGAATCGACAATACACAGTGTTGGAAGCTACACACACCAACAACAACACAACAATCTGGACGCCCATTGAATTGAAGTCACATTTCGTCCTGGGCATACTGACCTGAGCTGAACTTCACCACACTATTTTACCTTTCAGCAAAATTGCATACTGAAGTGTTGGAAGCCAAGGAAACCCACCGGCAACACACGAATCTGGACACTGGCTTGGCAGGAGCCACAAATCGTCCTGTAAAAACTGAACTGAACTGAACTGACATTGAATTATTATACCTTCCTCGGCAGCGAAAACCATTTGAAGCACTCAGCTGGGCAACTGTTGTTGCAAATTCACCGACAACAAGGCTGAGGCTATCGGCGCAAGATACACTAGTAAAAGGTTAGTCTCCGGCTCCCTTAGAATGTCATTGCTGTCACTGAGACTTGGCTCAAGAGTGACTATATGGTCCTGGATTTACAGGAATACACGGAATATAGACAGGATAGAGTCGACGGAAGGCAAGAAGGTGGGGTCCCCTTAGCTGGGCGGACTACCTGTCACCAATGGGTGGTCACTGCAGTTGGTTACTCCCAATATTCAGGTTACTGCTTGCCACTTAGAGGTTGAATCGGTACCTGTAGGCATTGTTTGAATTTATAGGGCACCAAATTCAATGGTGGCTGAGGATAATGAACTAGTGCGTACCCCACAAAAGCTGCTTTGAAGTGCCCATAGATTTCTCATCTTGGGGATCTAAACCTTCCTGAAATAGTTTGGGGAGAAGAACGAGCTCCTAGAGGAACTACGGGATGGACGCTACTGGAGTGGATCTATTCGCATTCGCCTGTGCAGCATGTAATGGAACCCACCCGGTTCCAGTTCAGTCAGAGGCCCTCAATCCTTGACTTAACTAAATTTCGAGCAAGGTCAGATAGAGGTCCCCCTAGGCAAAAGCGACCACGCGGTCATTCAGTTAAAAGCACTGGCGCAGTACACCGAGCCAGGGATCAAAATGGTCCGGTTGAATGGGTGTGTACAAGGACNTTCAAGCGGCAGCGGGCACTGTACACCAAGGATAGAAACAAAGCAGTGGCCGTTCAGCGCGAGCTCAAACGACAATATGACCTCAAGCTGGCAAATTGTGCTAAATACCAGCTAAAAAATGTACTACTCTTATGTCCAATCTAAGAGAGGGCTCAATGAAAAGGTAGGGCCTCTGATATCTGAGGATGGAGAAGTAGTAACCCATGAGATGGATTCAGCAGTGCAATTTAAGGAATACTTCAAAAGCGTATATACATAAGCTCAACTCGTTGCTACACAACCTGACCTCCACACCGTCGGACCGGGTATCCCCGAATAACACGTGGGGCTGGAACAGGTGCGTACGACTCTTGGTGAGTTTAACGCCACCAAATTCGCCGGACCAGATGGCATACACCCAACCTTAATTAAACACATNAGCTGAGGTTCTGGGGGGCACTCTGCCACATGTACAACAGAAATCTAGAGCAGGGCAGGATACCACAGGACTTGAAAACGGCACCTGTGGTTGCCAAACACAAGGGAGGACCGAGACAAAAGGTGGAAAACTATCGTCCAGGTAGTCTCACATGCATCTTGTGCAAAGCGCTAGAGCAATTTATCAGGATCCACTTATGCAAATACCTCACTCAGCACCGATTGCTGATTGTGGCACAGAATGAATTCCGGGAGGGAAAATCCTGTCTCAGCAATCTGTTACACTTTTTAGACGAAGTCACAGGGAGGTTGGATGAGGGTAGGCAATTGGAAGTACGCTATCTGAACTTTAGCAAAGCATTTGAGTCAGTAAATCATCACTTACTTTTGGCCAAGATAGATGTTCTAGGGATAAGGGGTAAAATTCACAAGTGGCTAACAGCTTTTCTGGCCGATAGGACCTTTCTGGTTCGGGTCAGAGAAGAGAAATTGACAGTGGAAACCATTGCTAGCATTGTTTCTCAAGGATCAGTTCTAGATCCACTCCTTTTCTTGATTTACGTCAGTGATCGTAATCAAATCCTTGACTCGCCTAGCTGTATATTTGGGGAAGATGTTTTAGGATTAGGTTTTAGGATTAAATGGGAGAGCGGAATTAGGAAGGGACATAGGAGAAGTGCTGAAGTGGTCAAGTGCATGCGATATGCCTCTCGACATAGGAAAGAGCCATGTCCCAACCACTGGAGAAGAGGGGCTGATAGTGGGGAGGAGTCATGGTGGTCTTTCAGTAGGAACGGCACAGAAAGCTAGAGATTTAGGAAGCATAGTGACGGCAGACTACAAATGGGCACAACAGTGTGCCGCAGTGGTACCCCGTATCCTCAGTGAGCTTTTCAGATTGAGGACGGAACTAACACGTAGGAAACCGGAGGTATTCGTACCTCTATACGAGGCCATTGTTCGACCGCATTTGGAGTATTGTATACAAGCCTGGGCTCCCTTCTTCAAGACGTACGCCGCTTGTCTCGAGGGGTCCAAAGATTAGCCACAAGGATGATCGAAGGACAGCGAGGTTAGTCGTATAGGCAGAGACTGCAGGACCTTGGACTCTTCTCCTTGGAAAGAAGAAGGCTACGAGGTTACTTGATAGAGATATTCAAAATTGTGAATGGCCTATCAGGGACGGATCAAGCAGTGTTCTTCGAGCTGATGCAAAACAATACGAGAGGGCACATGTACAAGCGAAAATAAGTGCGCACAAGACTAGCGGTGAGTTTAAAATTCTTCAGCAATAGGGTAGTCAACTCATGGAATAAGTTACCACAAGAGCTGGTGGAGCTAGGGAGCGTTCATGCTTTAAAGAAGGCGCTCGATAAGCGCTGGTTGAACTTACTTCTCGAAGTAGACGCATAGGTTAAGGTCTGGAAACAGTGGTAGTTTTTTTCATTTACTACTCATCCCAACAGAGGAACACTTCCAAATGTGAGGTCCCTCGCCTAAACAAGGGGAGAAGATAGTTTTTCCCTTCTCTTTCCTTGCAGAGGCGGAGACGACTGGGACGAGAAGAAAGCGTGTAGAACTACAATATAGAACACTCGTATTGGTAGGGGCCGGAACGTGGCTTACTACCGGAGGAAATCTGGACGCTCGATTGGCTGTGGCCATCTTCTATCCTGTGTGCGAAGTGGTACCATCAGGCTTGCAGTAGCCTAAAGAAGAAAGTGTTGATACTCTACACGGAACACAAAGTGCTAAAGTGTGTCTGCACAGGTTGCATTAGTGTACCCAGGATGCCTACAAGAAAGTGAGTACTCCGAATAGCATCACAATTATTAGCTCAAATTCTGAGCGAAGGGACATGACGGTGATAAACCAATTCCAAGGATGCAGTAGCTATAAAGGGTCCATCAAGGACACCGGTAGGATTGACATACTGAAGATGAAAATCGAAGAGCTAGAGATTAAGACCAGGCAACAAAAGGGACACTTGGATTCCCTCCAGCACAAGGTTAATCGACTCGGGGAGGCAGCGGAACGTGCTAATAAGAGGCATTACCGAGCCTCTGTGTGTAAACCCAAAACAGAAGAACAGGGAACTTCGACATTCAGTCACCAGCCTGATGCGACGGCAAATATACCCGACAACGCTTTTCTCAAATGGGTATTTAGACTGGGTAGATGGGCCGGAAACCGGATACTAGCCAGGGGGCGGCAATACCGGTGGTTGAGTTTGAGAACCCGAAATACCGGGACGCTTTCCCGACAGCGTCGGAAAGAGTCAAAAAGGTGGCTTCTGGCTTGGTCATAATTGAACCCGATCGCTTAACTATGGGGAGGGGAGAATTTAGATACGCATCCTCTTCAAAGGGACATCGCTAGTTGGCCAGTTGAAGTCGCCAAGATTAGTGATCGAAAGAGTTCAAGACAAGTTCATGCAGACGAGCGAGAAACGTATGTCAGTATTGCCGGGCGAAGCCTCGGAAATTTATTAAGTCTGGTGCCGAGGATGATAACCTCATTTCCGACGCGAGACCTTATTCAGCGTGTACTGCAGTCCACGAGATGGAAAGCCGGATG